ATGTAACGTTTTTATAATTATTAATTAGTTAAAATATACTATTAGATTGTGAAATTCATTTAATTTTATGTTATACTAAAAGTTAAATCTCAAATTTTTAATAAATATTCAATTAGGAACGTAATTTTATATTGTGAACAATGAAATTTTACTATTTAATTATATTAACGGTATAAGACTGTTGGCATTCGATATAATGGCCGATATCAAGTAAATATTAACAATTTCTTGCTCTCTCAATATTATGGTAGTCATGTTGGAAGTAAATACGAATGAATGATCTCACTGTGTAATCGAAGAAATACATGCATATTTATAACGGTGCATTTAAAACCATAATATAGTTTACTCATACACTGATAAATTAAAGAAAAACTGAAGACAAATAATGCAAAATCTCTACCACACCCAAAATAAAATATAAAAAGGATATACAGAGGAACACACTCGTACGAGTCCATCATTGCTCATTTACATAGCATTCTTGTATAATTAGGTATTTGATAAAAAGCTTAACATTTTTCTAAATTGAATTCATCGGCTGCCACTCGCACATCCTCTCAAATTGAGTTTTTATTGTCTCTCTCAAAAAAGTTTACTAAAAATCTCTAAAGACAGAGACTGATAATGAATTGTGTCGAGACTTCTAGAAGTAAAGCTATGCCAAAGTTTAGCGTGGAGTTTTCACATAAAAAGAAAAAAAAAAGAAAAATACATAATTCATGCAATTTACGAAAAACTCAAAATATTTTAAAGTATAACATAAGACTATTAGTGGCATTTTAAAGTTTACATTAAAGCAATGAAATTAAATGTTACTTAATCAAATATCCTCATAACAGCAGAATGCCGAAATATAGATAAGTCTATATTATTTATTTACTTCTTTTATTGACGAAAGTCACAATAACCTTTTTCAGATTCAAATTTGTCACTGCTTTACCTCGACAAGTCTGCCTCAATTTCACTGTGCACAAAGTCATTGCGTAACAAAAACACGTATATATATAAATATATATATGTAGGTAAATACCAGTATTATGGCAATAAAAAAATAGTCCTCCCATCCTGTTAGTGTTAATGAACAAGTATAGAAAAAAAATTAAATAAGTAATAAGTAAAAATAATTCTAGGTAAATATACTTGGTACGTGAATTCATTTACTTACTGTCGTTTGGCCCGACTTATCTAAAAATCTGTCGTGTGACAGAAAATCTATATAAAGTCTATATGCATGTATGTAAGTATGCAAGTATGCATGCATGTATGTATGCGTATGCATATATATATATATATATATATGCATACACGCTCACACACACACACACACACACACACATATACATGCAACACAAATATATATATACATATATATATACATATATATATATATATATATATATATGACATATGAATGCTCGTGTGTATGTAATGTATATGTATATAAATTTTTATATGATTGTATGCTTAAATGTAAAATTTTTATACATAGCGTGCGTGAGAATAATAATTACTCTTATAATTATAGATGTATTTGTTATGTTCGTTCTTGTTGCAGATCTTTTCACGAAACGTACCGTGTCATTTAGTTGTTTTTCTATTCTTAGCGATATAAGCAAAAAAAAAAAAAATTAGTGAGGCCAACTTTTACAAATTATAGTATTAAAAACACTGCTTATAATTAATATTAGTATTTATTTCAAAATAAAATTTTCTACATTTGTTTTGTGAATTATTTTTTTATATTTCCAATAGACATTCTACTTACACTTTAGAATTTTTAATGATTCGATAAACTGAATTACAACCAAGTACTTACAAAAAATTGCGTAAGTCAAACTTTCAAAAACTCACATCAATAAATATTTTGTTCTTATAAAATGGTTGTACCAATCCATTAGCCTTAAAATAAATTACTTAACAATAAAGCAGAAAAAAAAAATATATAAATTTTATGAAAACACAAAAACAAACATAAGCAATATATATCCACGGAAATTCAAATAAAAAAAATTTTATTTTCTAATTTTTAACCCCAACCCTTTTCCACATAACGAGTCCTTAAAAATTACTATAAGTTTGCAAGTACATAGTATTCATATCTATGTACACATAAGTATCAGTTATAGGACTATAAACAAACGAATTTCATATCAATCGATTAAAAACGGTCGATTTCATGAAAAATTTGCATCAATTGTCCGAACAAGTATTCAAGAATAAATCAGTTAATAAATAAATAAATAAGACAATTTTTCTTTAATCATAATATGGAACTGTACCGTGCCCAAAAAGCGCTCATTACTACTGTATCACAACACCAGGAATTTCAAGCTACCAGTTAATATAAGAAAGAAAATAAGAGAAAGACAGATAAATATAGGAGACAAAAAAATTATAGCATTAGAACAAATTATAGTTGATATGTTAAGTTGAAAAGGCGAATAATTAATCATAAAATAGATTAAAAAAAATTAATGTAACTTAGATATTACATGAATGATAAATAAAAATACAAATTAAATAAATAAAAAGAAAGAAAAAATTAATTTTAAATAGTCGAACGACCACTAAATTAACTTTAATTTAATAATGCTGTATTAATTTGTATTCATTTAAATAAACATTAAAAAGATATGCGATAAATAGTTATTACATGATAATATATTAATACACAATATAATAATATATATAATAGTAATATAAGCATAAAAAATAATCAATGTATAATAGCAATAGAATGTATTAATGAAGAATGGGAAATTGTTATTTTATTTTTATTACGATTATAATATATGATTTACTTATGTAAATTATGTAGGATAAATGCAGAAACTAATTGATATTAAAATTTGTCGTTTTTAATATATCATTTTTTTATTTTCATTAATATCTGAGCATCTCAAACATAATTTACAATAGCATATATTTAAAAAGATCTCAAATATATTTTACGTTTAACGAATTGCACATGAAGATATCTAAAGTAAAAATATTAACATATTTTACAATAATTGCATATTTTCTTTTATTTGTACGTAAAAGAATGAATTATATTAAATATTTTAACAATAAAAGCTTGTTAACGCATAAAAATTTTCCAAAAAAAATGGAATTGTTTTTAAAATAAAACAGGCCGCTCGACGACAAAATTATTACACTACAAAAAAGACATGATTATATTCAACATATTTGATAATAATAATTTGTAAAGATTACAATGAAAACAAATCTGTTTTTTTTCTTAGTGTAATAATTTATAATAATAAAAAATAATAATCATAATAATAATAATAATAATAATAATAATAATAATAATAATAATAATAATAATCTTGAGATTAGAAAATAACTTAATTATGATGTGCAATCGATAGCTTAGATTTAATAAAAGATAATGGTAATGATAATGATGATGATATCAATAATAATAATAACAATAATAATAACAATAATAATAATAATAATAATAATAATAATAATAATAATAATAAGTATAATATGAGGTATATAATATAATTAGTATAATTATAATATAAATAATATAAATAATAATAGTAGTAATGATTGAAAGTGGTGGTGGTAGTAATAGTAGCAGTAGCAGTATCAGTACTATCAGTAGTAGTTGCAGTAGTAGCAGTAGTAGTTTAGTCATAGTGGTAGTAGTATTAGTAGTAGTAGTAATAATGTCAGTATGAGGAGTAGCTGTATCAACTAGGATGACGATGATTATGATTATGATGGTGATAAAATAATAATATTTATGATATACATAGGCCATTTCACCGCATGCTAGTTGCTAAGGACCAACCTTGTTGTACTTGTCTAAAACACGGGTTTTAGTAACCAGAGACTGGGGGTTCGGTTCGACACTCATCGCAGAGTGACAGGGCACCCTGTAAACGCACCGTTAAAAACGTAAAAACTTTTTCAGAAGACTATAAAATTGTCGATCTTATATATGTTTTCTATTATTTAATGAAAAATTCTATATAAGAATTTTAATAGACATATACTACATCTCTAAGAACTTGTATATGTATAATTACATCTTGACTCTACCGATGCATGGTTTTAAAAACAATTATGCTATCATTTTACAATCTAAGTGATCATCGACGGAAAACATATGACAAAATTATGTAACATAATAAAAAAAAACTCATTTTTTAAAAAGATTTATTATTCAAATTCCATTAAAAAAGAATATATATATGAATTAAAAGTTTAAATTTCAAGTTTTCAAAAATTCAAGCTTTCATCGACAAATGAATAAATAATTTAAAAGAAATTTTATATAAATCACTTTTCCAATATTATTATTTAGAAGATAAACAATTAAAAAAATTAATTAATCATTAGTTTAAACATAATAAAAAAGAACGATTCTTATGAACAGAGTCATCTGTATTCTACTTATCTATTAATTTATATAGATAATATATTATTTATAAACGTTCAATAATAAAAATTATGTATTAATAAGAAACGTTGAAAGTAAGCGAGATAGTTATATAAAGTAATTGTGCACCTTATACGCACTTCTTAACAGAATAGGATAAAGGTTAAGGAGAAAATGTAAAAAAAAAAGCCTATAAGATTTCAGTGAAAAATACGGCCCTATAAAGGTAATCAAACAAACTTTTTCATTAGCTAATTACTTATTAAAAACAAAATCATTTACTTCGATTAGTATTTCTCTCAACTTAATTTCAACTACTATTATGAAGTGCAGAGTCTACGATGTGCCTTTAATGTCTTTTTATATAATTATATACGTCACTCCTTATTCATTGATATTCCTGAGTTTCGGTATCCCTAATATAGAAAGCTTCTAATTGAACATTTAAAAATATTAATTATTCAAGAATTTCAGATAAATATATTAATTGTAAGTTCGTTATTACATCTGTATTTATTTGCAATATAAAGTGATCTGAGGCATAAAAAAATAAGTCTTATTTGTGTTATTTATTGAAATAGATAGAAATACTTGAATTAATGTACATCATTTTAAATATGATATAATTAGATGTTCAATAACTTACTTTTATATCATTGCATGCTTTACAATTCATATGAATTAACTCTTTCACATAAAACAGAATATAAAAGAAAACTTTGTATGTACTAGCTTCTATATATAAATATATATACCTATAATAAGAAAACTTAATCTATATTATAAATTATTATTATTTCTTTATCTTATTTTCTATAATGAATATTTGTAATAGCTTAACGTTAAAGAAATCAAAATAAATGGGCTTATCTCATTGTATTTTTGTTGGATGGCTATTAGTTGAGAGCGGGTGGTGTGTTTAAAAATGGAATTCAAACTGCTTATACAAATTGACAAAAACTAGCCTATCAAGGTCATAAATTGACCTAGCCCAATATAAGTAAATTGTATGATACAAAAAAGAATATTATTTATAACTATGATAAAATTGTTATCTTAAACCTAAGAATAAAAAATATTTTCCATAAGAAATATATATATGCACATATATATACATATGTATACATATATACAGATATACACATATGCATACATGTATATACACATATATGTATACATATTATGTACATATATATATATATATGTGTGTGTGTGTATATATATATATATATATATATATATATATATATACACACACATACACATACTCATGCATATGGACGTAGGCATGTATGTATGTATGTATACATTGATAATGGAGATCGCTTGATTGAATGAGACAAATATGTAGATTTATCGATATATTTATATATGTATGTATGGATAGAAAATAGAGAAAATGTTCGGTAGCAGGGGCACTTAGGATATCGGCGAGAGAAATTAAAAATAGAGAAAGAAAAGAGCGAAAGAAGAATATCCTGGAGACTTACCTGGTGGCAGGCCCATGGGGGGCGGTCGCATCATGTTACCTCCGTGAATGAGCGCTGGCGCCGCAAGTGTCATGGTTGGGCGCATGAGCGGCGCCATAAGCGCAACCGAACTCACGGGCATCGCCGCCGAGACCTGCGGCATTGCCATCACTTGCGGTGGCCTTGGGAAACGCTGCTGCTGCTGTTGCTGCAGGGCATTCAGGGCCGCCTGCTGACGTTGCTGTTGGTCCTGGAAGGCCGCGACCGCGGAGGCAGCTGCTGCCTGTTGCTGCTGCTGTTGTTGCTGTTGCTGTTGCTGCTGTTGTTGCTGCTGCTGCTGCTGCTGCTGCTGATGATGCGCCTGCTGCTGCTGATGATGATGATGCATGGCAGCTGCATGTTGAGCCGCTACCTCTTGTTGAGCCGAGCGAGACTCGTCGGACTGTCGTCGCTGATACTTTGGTAATCTCGCTCGAATTTCCTCCTGCGAATATTACAGAATTACATTTTGAAATAAGCTGTTATCACAATTATCTTACATTATTTATTGTAATTTGAGAGTATATCACATTGACAAGCTTTTAATTATTTGTAAATCGACTACATTAATTAAGTGCTTTTCATACGTACCAAAAACAACAACAAAAAAACATTTTCTTCTAGCATTTAATTTTACTTGACAATTTAAAAGTATCAGTCAATAAATATTTACGAATATGATGGAATTTTGATCTATTTATCGTATTAAATATATTTTGGTAAGTATCAAAGCTCCAATTTAAAGCTTTTCCAAATAATTGATTCTAATTAATATCTTTAGTCACTTTTAAAACCTTCATTTTATACAATATACTTATAATGAATTCTATAATATTCAATGAGTAAACAAATATAGAATTTTAAGATTTATACTCGATACACAATACTCAATAGTCAATTTATAAATGGCACAGTTATGATATAAATATTCTAAAAGATTTTTTTTACAAATAATTTAAAAATCAATCGTTTCATTCTGACTTATCCAAGTAAACTGATTTTCTCCCATTCTGATTTGGAAAAATATTTGAAATTAATCTTCAATTAACTTTTAATAAACCACAATTTAATAATAAAAATGCACTTATAAAATGTTGAAAATCATATTTTCAATGTTAATTTTAACCTAATTATAAGTATATTTTATTTGAATTTGGTCACAATAAAATAACAAATATGTTTACTTTTATCCAAAAACGTATGACAAGATAAGCTTACAACAGTATCCATTAGTAGATGCAATGCAATTGAGAAAAAATTATCATATTATCATAAAATTATATAAATTTTTATATTTAGCATTCATGTTTATTCAATATTTAATTCGTAGAAAATACTTCAGAAATAATAAATTTATGTATTTAAGATTTATTCCAAAAGGCATTAAATTGCTGTAGGTATTGTGAAATCAATATTTGCCTTAAAGTATTGATATAAATAGATATGGCTACCTATGATGCAATTAGTACATGTAAATTAGAATACACTTGATTAAACATGTAAATAGAAAATTGGTTTCACTTTTTTGTAAATTTACTTTGATTGTTTTAATGATAAATTTCATTGTGTAGTATAAAAAAAAAAAAAAAAAATATATATATATATATATATATATATATTTACCAGACTAAGATCTTCTGGAGGATGAATTATTTTACTAGATGCACCAGTCGTTGCAATCATGTTTACTTTTGAATCGTTAGAATTGGTACTAGTTGAGGTTCCATTATCAGAATTTCCATAAGCAGGAAATGTAGGTTTCACAGGTCCTATGGAACCACCTGCTATAGATGTGATGGGCTTGAAATCAGCACCCAAAGGCGCTGAGGCTGCAGTGGAAGCAGCACACGAAACAGCTGTGGCACTAGGAAATAAAGGTCGAGATGGCATAGATGCTCCGCTGACAGGTGGTTGCATTCCAGGAGGTACTCCATGCATTCCTGACATCATACTAAAAGAATGAGTAAATTTGTTTTTATTAATGATATTTTCTTACTAAATACTTTCAATGCTTATTTATCTATTATACTTTTACATTTGTAACTTTTATTTCTTGCTTGCACCATAAAATCTTTCCTTACCATTATTCTTATCAAGTTACATATAAGTTAAATAAGATATAAAACAACTTTATTCGCTTATAAAATTGGAATGCATAAATCAATATAGTCATACATGTATATATATTTCAATTTTTTTTTTTGTTATAAAAAGAAATTAAAATTTTTATAACATTAATCATTTATGTCTGCAATATATATTAGCAGGAAATGAAATGAAATAAACGTTAAAAAGTTATTTGTGTTTAAAATGTCTCTAAAATTTAGATAAAATCTACGATACCCCTTTATTTAAAAAATAAATGTAATAAATGTCTTTAATGTGAAATACAAAATTACCCAGGGCTCATAAATGGTGGTCCTACGTGTCCCATTGATCCCATAACATGATGCATGGATGGTGGAAATTGACCCACGGACATTCCTGGATGTCCAGGTATACCATGCGATATCATGTTAGAGCCACTTATTGATCCAGGCGCTGAACCTAATAAGCCTTCGGTTTTCATCTTCTTTGGTGCTGGCTCATCTTCACCAGAACTGGGAGAGCCAGGTCGACCGCCATTTCTCTGTCGTTCATGTTCCTTCAAATCATTAGCTGGAATTCCTTCCATACCATAAATTTCTATTTCTATATTACTTCGATTTGGGAGTGAATTTGGAACTTTATCTATCGTCTCTTTATGAACCTGGACATAATAGTTTAATAAGAAATTTTAAGTATTAATAACACAATAAAGTATCTATTTATTTATAACTTCACTCACCTGCATACAATGTATGCTCAGACCTGGACCTGTATAAAGTTTTTTATGACATATATGACATTTAAAATGTTTTGCCTTTTGATGTTGTATTAAAATCTTTTCATCTTCGAATTCTCTGTTACAATACCTATATTATATATCATTAAGGAAATATTTGGTAATTACAAATTCTGTTAATGAATGCATAAAGAATGTGAATCAACTTGTATCTAAATATTTAAATTTACTCTTTCCACATATTATAATTTCTCCAAAATATCAAAATACAATAGATATAATTATATAAAAGAAATTATAATTAAATATTCAATTTATAATATTATCTAATTAGTGTACAAATATACATGCGTGTTCTTGCTTGTGTGCGTATGGGCATGCGTGTGTATGCCTATGTATTTATAATTATATGCCGACACACATGCACATACAAACTTAAATACATATATACATACATACATACATATACATACATACATATATATAATATATTAACCTTGTGATTAATTTAAATTTCTATCAAATATACTTTTAGCATATATTCTTCATAGATAATAATGTTAAAGGTTATCTTTCATCATTTATGATTTACAAAACATAAATATCATATATTATCTAATATAAAGATTTTTATGATTAATACAGAAAATAAAAATGGCTTGTATAATTACATTTGCATTTAATAAATCTAATAAATATATTACAAAACATTTTTATTATATGAATAATCAATAAAATTTGATGTTGAAAGAAATAAAATAAAATTTATTCTATTATTATTTCATTTATAAAGGCTGTTTATCTTAATGTCATTATATGGATTAAATAATCATGAATAAAAAATTGAAATACATAAAAAATTATTGTCAATTTTTTTATATAGCCTTCTTGAATTATGATTTAACTCCTATTTAAAATATAATTTTCTAAATTTTTTTTAGTGCTAATGTATTCAGGTAATACATAAACTTTATATTTTGTTCACTTTGAATCAAAATAAGATCTTTTATATTAGGAATTTTGTATTAGGATTGATAATTTTAAACCACATAAGAAATTAAATTTACATATATATTTATATTTATTTATATTTATTTATATATAATTTATAATACTACTTTATAAGAGATTTTAAATAAGTTTCATATGCAGTATATTGGAGATTAAACGGAATATCACAGTTATTTTTAACGTGTTATGCTTATAATTGTTCCACAATATATTTTCAATTCTCCTAATTGCCATTACAGAATTAGAAGCGAGTGAATACGAAATAGCTCTCTTAAATCTTTATAAGCTTCTTTTTATCCCAATTTTGAACTGGCAAACTAGATTCCAAAGCTGAGTGACCGTAAACTACTTTTTTTTTCTTTTCTTTTTTTCATTAAATTTTAAAAGCAAACTTTTATATATAAAATGAGAAATGCTATTATTTACACATCGCGAGTGGCAAACGACTAAAAGTGTAACCCGAATCCCTACCTCCGTACAGAACTAAAAATAAATAAAAAAACACAACGTCCGCATCCTCCTTTGGAAAAAGCACCCTCGCGCGCTTAAATAGACAAAATCGATTTTCCAGACATTCTTTGGACGTGTGTGTCGAGTCGTTGTTTGCGATCGCGCGAGCGGCACTGCAACTTTTTCAAAACCTTATGTATATGGCAATAAAGCAACGACAACGGCGTCAATATTACATCGCGCCGATCGTAAATGACAATGCGATGTGGAACAAACAGAGCAACGTACAAAACGAGATCACACATCGACCAAGAAACTATGCACGCGCATAAAATATGACATGCGCTTGTACGCATGGCTCCTTTACCGTTACGTAAAATTATTAAGTTTCGGAAGCACCGAGACTTCCTCCGTCGCTGCCCTATTATCACAAATTCTTTTGTTTGAAAAGGATACCAGCACCAAGGTTTTGACTGCTTCTTCTTCTTCCGTCCCATACTGAAACTGCGTGGTACGATGAAACGTTGACGGCCTTGTAATAATCGAATTTCCTATCTCCGTAATGCTCGGTACTCGGATACGCTGACGAAATTACTATCTTCGATAGTTAATGCACTATCGAAGTTGACGAACGCCTTATTGACTTTTCGCAGCCGCGAACGACGACTACCAGGAGAAGTCGCACCGAATTACTGAGCCAAAAGCCTCCACCACCTCGTCCTCCTCCTCCTCCTCCACCTCCTCCTCCTCCTCCTCCTCCTACTCCTACACCACCTCCACCACCTTCGCGATCGCCGCCGCCGCCCACCATCGCCATCGCCGCCGCCGCCGTCGCCGCCGCCGTCGCCGTCGCCGTCGCCGTCGCCGTCACTACCGTCACCACTACCGCCACCACCACCGCCTCCTCCACCTCCTCGAGCACGACGAAAAAGACACTCCAACGTGCTATGGAGTGTAGACTGCCACAACCACCGAATATCAGTATGGGAATTGCCACTACACTACGCTCATTGCTCGGGTCTTAGCCTCAGCACCGTACACTCAGGTCGCCAATATAGATTTGCTCACACGTACGAGGCGAATTTTGTCGTGTATCAGTTACGCGTTTATCGAATTGGGCGCGATGGGAGAGGAAGAGAGATTGACGACGGTTGACCGACGCGAGTTGAGGGGCAAGAGAGAAAAACAGCCTGAAAGCCGCAACGATGCAATGGTTTGTATTAGGATGCCCAAGTTCACTCGACGCTCACTGTGGCGCCACTATTTCACCTTGGCGTCTCTTGTGCTTAAATTTTCGTGACGAAAGCTCCCTCGGAAATTAATTAATTGCATACCAAACGTGCCTTACCACGGCCAAAATTGCTTCCATTGTATCGCTTCGATTTGTCAATCAGAATGATTTATTTATAAACTACGATTTATATCTCATAAGATTATCTTATATATATATATATATATATATATATATATACAATTATGTACGTATCTTATATGGGTAAATGAAAGAGAGAGATGGTGAATAATGGCGTCCAAGCAACTTCCGTTATGTGTTGTACGCTTGCGCATCAATGAGTAAAAACGTAATAAACAGTCTAAAAGATATATAAAAGAAGCGGTAGCAGAATTGAAAATATGATTTCTTATTTTATTCTTATTAGATGATACATGACTGAAATCGTGTTTACCAATTGTTTTTTTTATCTTGTATCATTGATTGGTAATTAAATTGATTAGTTTCTTTCATTAAAGTCAGAAGCATTTGAAAAAAGATGTTAGTACGTCACATTTATTTATGCAGTATTCAAATGATTTAAACATTTGGGTAAAATAAATTAATGCATGAATTATGGTTTTATCGTATCATTTAGCTTTACTTCCATTTCGAGACAAAGGTTTATATAGCCAATGTACAAGTACTTTATAAATCATGAAGGATTGAAATAAATAAGTTCACTATGCATTATGATCGAATCATTACATTCGTTTTACACACATTCGTTCTACAAAATTCGTAATGGAAAATTATAAAAAAACAATTTATTACTTAAAAGCATCAGGAATTTGTGCTATTGTTGTCAGGTAATTTTATACATTTGTTCAATGAATTATCATGTACAATAAATATTATAGGTTAGAATGTTATTGAAAATACATATAAACCAGAATTGCATGAAAATTATTTATTACAACAATAATAATGATTGTGTTATCTTATTTTTTATTAAAAGTGGATGTTGGATTTTGTATCAAATAAGGCAAACGTCAATATTACTTAACTCTATTATTTCACCAAAAGTTCTTGAATTAAATCATGCAAGAGCACAATATATCTATATAAATAATCCTAAATTTGAGAGTAAAGTATTCATACATTTTAGTATTGTTAAATCTAATATCCGTATTATAAGATATGAACATTTTTCAGATATTTTTATGTCCAATCATGCAAATGATTTCAATTTTACTAGCGATGAAGACCCAATACGATTATCTTTTATTAGTAAGTGGTGGAAAACATGGAACAACAATTTAGCTTTTCGTTTATTTCAAGTTGCTTATACAGGAAGTAAAATGGAAAGAATCAAAGCCATACATTCACTTAGTACTATGAAAGATTTAAAGGGTAATTTAAAATTATAATTTGTAATTATTAGAGAAATATTTCGTTGAAGTGTAATGGAGATTAAATATCGTAGATTGGCAATATGGTCAGATATCTCAGATGTTAGATGCAAGAACTGCCGTCGCTTTAGCACGATCACCTGGGATTGATTTACGATTTTTTTTAAAACCACCATATTTCAATCAACAATTGCAAATTCATGCAAGTTAATTCTATTTACTATTTAGTTAAAACTATTGGAACAATATTGTTTATAATGACACTTTAATTATCTATATAGGAAATTGTTGAAAAAGTTCATAGCCTATTAATAAAACTAAATACTCGTTGTGAAGGAATTCATCCATGTCTTTTGAACTTTATAAATAAGAAATTTCAAAATTATCTACACGTAAGTAATCAATTATAATTAATATTGATTTGAAGCTTTTTTAAAAACAATGAACAGTTGTAAAACTTTAATAGGATTCCACAATTATGGAACCCGATATAAGCAATGATGGATTGTCATCACTTATCAAATGGGATATAAATTTTTTACAAAATTGCTTAGAAGCCATTCTGCATCATTCTTCTTTAAACAATCACAGCAATGGTATACATATCTTTAAATTATCTTTTCTTTTCAAATTTTTTTTTTTTTTTTTTTTTTTTTTTTTTTTGATACTTAAAATGATATTACGTAAAATATTTATTCTGTTTAGATATAGTTGATGTCGGAGGGCTACAAATTTTAATGAATATTTATAAGCTTCTGGGGGATAATATCGATATATGTGCATTAATAGCTAAAATACTTTCAAATATATCATTGAATCCAGAATATTTAGAAGACATCTTTAGATCTGGTAATTTAAATAAATATTGTTACGATATTTTTCACATATAGTAATATTGAATGTATGAGAATATAATTTGTTAATAAATGTTGATCTGAAGGATGGATAAGGATTTTGACATCATGGTCCTATCATCAAGATATTCGAATTTCAACTTTAGCAAGTTGTGCACTTGCGAATTTAGATACTGATGACATCGAGCACGAAACGTATCCTCAAAAAATTTATCTTCTTCATCCATTACATAGGGTTTCGTCTAAAAGGGATTTAGATGTTATTTTTATACATGGATTACTTGGTGGTGTATTTGTGACATGGAGACAGCGTGATCTAGATAAATCAACTCACGTACCTGGTATGTTTTTCAATCTATATTTCTTAATATAATTGCACAAAATGTTTAATTTAAATTGTAACTTATTTCATTTACAGATATAAAAAATAATTACAATACATTGAGTTTATCGGAAATGGTCGATACTCATCCTTCAGAGTTTTTAAAAGATTTAGCCCGAGATTCGGAGATTCGCGAATGGCAACGTATCGGTCAGGATTTCGATGTCGTATTGCATGATTGTCCAATAAACGTTGACTCTAAAAATATCGTTGATTCATTTTTTTGTAAAGGGTAATCACGATTTACCTTTTTAATATTTTTTTCTCCTAATTCTGTATTAAAACAAAATATTTATTTATCTTATTTCTACATAAAGACGCTCAAATTTTTAAATATTAAAATCAAAACGTTAATTAACATAATCATAACAATTTATTTATAATAGTTCTGATAAATGTATGCAACAAAGTGAGATGGATTATAAGATTCGAACACAATGTTGGCCAAAAGATTGGTTACCTCGAGACGTGCCAAATTTACGAATATTAGGAATTAATTATAGAACTAATTTATCCATGTGGGCTTCTTTGTGCCCAATTACAGGTGATAGGTAATATATGAAATTAATTACAGTAACGATGTAACTGTAAATACGAACGATATTGTATATTTTCTAGAAGTACAATAAAAGATCGAAGCGATGAATTTACCGAAAAACTTGTAACGGCTGGGGTAGGGAAGCGCTCGATAATTTGGGTTTGTCACTCAATGGGTGGACTTCTTGTAAAAAAAATGCTTGTTGAAGGTAAGGCAACTGTTAAATTGTATGAATTTCATTATGTAATTAATAATTAAATATAAAATAATAATATCGCTTATTCTTTTTAGAGTGGAAAAATGGAGATAAAAACAATCTACTTCGTAATTCGAAAGGAATTATATTTTACAGTACACCACATCGGGGTTCTCGCGTTGCGGCTTTAAATCAAACAACACAATTATTGGTTTGGCCATCCGCAGAAGTTCAGGAATTACGAGAACGTAAATATTTCCCTCAATTCTAATAGGAATATCTTCTTAATTATTTAATTAAATAATTTTTATTACTAGAGTCTCCACAGCTATTACAGCTGCACGAGGATTTTTTAAAAATGCTTAAAGAGTATAATATTGAAGTAATTAGTTTTGGAGAAACAAAGCCAACTCGTGTCACTGCATTAAAAGTACCTCTGAGATTTGTAAATTCTGATTCAGCAGGTAAAACAATGTTAGTCGATAGATAATTTTAGTGCTAAGATATTAAATAAATTTTATTTCAGATCCAAATATTGGTGAATTTTTTGAAATTCCACAAGATCATTTGTCTATATGTAAACCTGCCAACAGGTGAAAATTTTGTTTTCAATATTTTCAAACAATCCGTAATAATTAATTACCTAATTACATTATTAATATTTCAGGCAGTCCTTTTTGTACCAAAAAGTACTTGCTTTAATTAAGCGCCATACTCAGTCTAACCACGAAAACAGATATTTTTGGAAGCTACTTTTTTCGTTCTAAACATATTTAGTCAATACTAACAATAACTTATACAGTATGTGTATATAACTATTGAACATGAATGTATAATTTATAATACAGAGCAATTAAGATTGAATAAATAATATTTTTGTTATGAAGATAATATTATAAAAGACATAATTTAATTGCGATTTAATGAACAGAAATTAATAAACAGAGAAATAGTTAATTTATTACAAGAAAATTTTATTAATAATATTAAAAATTTATATCATAATCAGGATGATGACGCGATGATTTTGAACCACTATGATGCGTTGGAGGGTAATAATATCCATTCCATTCGGATTTCCAACTGTCGTACATATTATATTTTCTTTCATACGGCAATCCATCGACCAAAATCTACAATTTTGTATTATAATTAAGTTTGATACATGAAACAACGGTATTAATCAAATAATATAAAATGATTTAATATTTCTGATGCAACTAATATGAAATTGATATATTTTTTCATACGTGAGATTTTAATAAAATATAAATATTGCATCATTTTCCATATCTTTAATAATGACGTTACTATCAATATTTTTATTTTGAATCTTTAAAGACAGAAAAATATGTCTACTCGATACTCTTTATATACAATAAATTAAAACACTATATATATATATATATATACCTTGTGAGAGGTCGACTCAAAGGGTTTATCCTGCCAACCAGCATCGTTCCACATTGTTTGGCTTTCGTTTTTCTGATACTCGCTGACTGGTCTACTCGAAGTTGTCGCATGGCTAATAACATTTTTAGAGACTTCCTCCTCGTACATGGCAGTAATTGAGGGTTTAAGTTTTGAACCGTGTTGTCGATTCACCAACTAAAATATATTTATTTTTTTTATTTTTTATTTACAACACAATTTAATAATGCTATATCTAATGAAATAATGCTACAGCTAAATAAGACACTATAATTTACTATTAAAATTATGCGTATTACTTATTGATTAATAGTAATGAATAAATAATATTAACGTGTTATTCCATTATTTTTAACTTTTAGAGGATATTATTTACAAACATGCTTAAAATAGTCCTGGAAATTCAATATTATATAAGCATGGTATTTTAAATGCCTATAGATAATACAGCAAATAATGATGAAAATTAATCAAATTAAAAGTGGAATCGTGATACAATGTATGTATAAATTTTTCACCCCGTTAAACATATATTTCGATCTTTACACAATCGAATACTTTTTAATCGGTCGACAAAGCACTTGTCGATAACAGTTTTCAAAAAATTGAAATTTCAAATTGATAAGCTCCTCTTGATAACGCACAGGCTATTATTATATAAACATCACCTTTAGCTGACATACGAAAATCTCGAGTAATAATTGTTTCATGATTTGCTTTCTCTTAAAAAAAGAAGAACGAAGAATCGGAAATAAGCACATCAAGCGACCCTCGTCACAGAAATAAGTTTAAAGATATAATAAATCTTTACAGAATAGTTTCAATACTGTAACACTATTCTAGAAAATAACCAGTTAACATTAATATATAAACAAAATTAATTTTTTTTTTTGGTATTAAATTAACGCTCACCTATTAATATTCTTTATTTAAAATAAGTTTAGTTTAATATTATTTTATTATATCGATATCTCTATATAACTTAAAGCAAAAACTTATATAAATAAATTCGTAAAAACTATTGAGATTCTAAAGAACTAAAATCACATTTCATTTTATATTAGAGATGGCACATAAAAGAAAACAAATATTAGTCAACATGATGTCAGTATAGACAAAAAAAAAAGTCTAAGCTCTTGTATATTATAAAAAATAGAAATTACATAAACTTACAACAGAAACCCCGAAGACTATAATGAAAAGGAGCCCACCAACGCCTATAACAATGACCGCAATCGCCCATTGTGGAATGAGCCTATTTTCATCTTGGATCATATTAGGAGCAGCCACTTTCGGTATCACTGAAACAAAAATACAAGTTTATTACATTCTATAAAACAAATGCATGACTATATAAATTAATATTATATAAATTAATTATTTATATCGTTAGATACACCGAATTTTACACTAACCGACAAAGTCCGTAGATTTAGGATCGATAGTGAATTTTCCAAGTTTCATTGGTCCTTTAGGTCTAGCCTCCATAGGATTATCGAAACTAAAAGTTCTTAACGAATCGTGGAAAATAACTTTTAATTGTTGAGTATTAATTTTTTCCTTTAAATCGGCAAGCTCTACGAAATAATCAACAAGAACACTGCCTTGACTGTAAAGCAACAATTATATTATTAATTTGTAATTTCAAAGTCAATTCATAAAAATTCTGTTCAAACTATAAGAAAGTGTCGGCTACCTAAAAGAGTCTATGCGAATTTTACGAAACCATTTCCTTAAAACTGGAGATTTCGCAAATACTAAATTCATCTGTAAAAAGTAAAATAATGTTATTTATAATGACAATATAATATAAATAATGGTATATAATAATTTTGAAGGATTTTAATGCATTTGCAGCCAATAGATAAATAAAACAATTTTATATAATATTTAAAGTTCAGTCGAAAAGCAAGTTTGTTACTAACGATAGCAGGCAGTATTTAATTCGAATTTTCACAAAATACTTATTGGTAAAGGAAAGCATGTGAGATCCAATAAATGATTTAAAAACTCGTTACCAGACCAAACTTTAGGCATAATTGTTCGATAAAGGATCGGGCGCGAGTATAATGAATGAGAGCTCAGTGAGACTCGACAGCATTGTTGGTTGATAAGACCCAACTATTGTTAGCTTGGTAATTTCATCCTTCTTTTAACAAAATGTTCCGACATTCGAGGTTAGAAGGAGTAAAATGAAACGAGAATCTACCTCTCTCTCGATCTCTTCGGCGAGATCCTGCCACTCCCTGGTATTCCGATCGAAAAGCTCCGGTAACCAAGTGGCGTTTTCAATGATCTTTATCGTACCGGCGACCTCGCAGTCTTCCTCGCAGATTCCTGGCGTCGTTGGCCTTAAGGTCGTTGTCGTGGTGGTCGTCGTCGTGGAAGTGCTCGTTGTCTCGCTGATGGTCGGTAGTAGGGACACGTTGATAGACGCGGCGGTCGCGGTTCGCGCTGCCTCCAGAAGCTTTTCTATTGAGATTGACGTAGTGGGGGGCGAGGGCCAACCAGTGAACTCTGTCGTTACTCTGGAAATTTTGAAAAAAAGAAAAAAAAACAATCATATAAAAGCGATATCGTCGATACCACGTCTATTTCGTTCATGAAAAAGTGCTTTCTTATTTTGGTGCATCCCTGTTCCGATTCTTTAAAGAAGGCCCGAATAAATAATAATCGCCACGATTGGCAAGCAATAGAGCATCGTAAACGTTGTTTGCGAATTGATTTCAATTAGTACACCTTTTAAATATAAATAGCACGTTTACAGTTAAGTAACGGCCAGAAGCATAAACTCAAGCGAATATTAATTGATATCGATGAATATTCGATTGAGTTTTTAATCGAGTGCATAAAATACAGTTGATTTGATATAGCAAATTTAGATTGTGCTTAACTATGCGTATGTAATAATTACCATAGGTATATCGAAGGCTTAATAAGTTATCAAAGTAATTAGAAACAAAATTCAATGGCGCAAAGAGAAAAGAGTGAGCCAAATGTAATCAGCGAATTGTATGCTAAAAGGTAGATTAAGATAGAGCGAACTTTGATTAAAAATACGTCGACTGAGGCACGATCAAGAGAAAGAGTAATTTTATAATGGCGCGAAAAGTAAAATAAAACTTTCGATTAAATAATGCTCTCGACGCCTGTAAAACAAGTTACCTAGCTACAAACAGTATTGAAAAATATTTATCTTTCGTTTATGATCCGATTGTATCTTAAACATAAATTATACACTTGGTTAATTGCGATTACAATTTTTTGTATAAACAATTATTGTGCAAATATTATTTAGAAGCTTCCGTATTATACGATATAAATTTAAATATGGATTGAAACCGAGCCAACTTAAGTATTACAATATAGTTAAACGTACTTTTACCAACAAAGTATGCCACTGTTACTGTGCTTTATTAAACTTTTTTTTTTTTAAGTCTTAGCATCCTTGAATGAATACTTTTGAACCTGTATAAAGTAAAATAATTGGCTAATTGGATTAGGCTCGCCAAACGAAAGAAGCAATCTTGGGATCCCCCCCCCCCCCCAAATACGAATGGAGCAAGGCAAATTGATTGCCGCAATACCACACAACAAGAAGTCCTTGATTTTCGCTCTAGGCGAGACGAATGAAAGAAGGTCGCGTAGCATCTATATTGCAAGGAAATTAAAATAAATTGAAATACCTCGTCGGCCAGCCTTTTTGAATACGGGGCGTGGCCGCATCACTGCCGCCGCCGCCGCCGCCGCTCCCTCGATTATTCGCCACGCTCGGGGGTGTCGTTATTTTGTTGATCGACTTGCGACCGCCTGGTCGACTTGGAAAAACGACTTTAAAGGAATTACCACCGGCAGTGACACCTTTTGCACCGAGTGGGGTCGGCTGTCTTGCCAAAGTCCCATCGGTATTTCCAATGCCCGGGGGCAGCAACGCCGATATGTCGACATTCGATTTGCTTATTAGGTCCTGTATCCCGCCGCTTATATTTATTGCTTTAGAGGAGTTTGAGGCATCTGTGTTTTAAAGTTAAGTCGGACATTAGATATATCGATCAAGCAGAATTAAATATCCCGCTTCACTTTATTCTTATAATTTAGTTGCTAAGCCGCTGCCACACTCGCTTTGTCATTCTATTTTGCATATATCGATCGATCAGCATCTGCTGACACAAGCTTGATAAAGAAGATTGCAAAATTCTTATATACAGCAAATTCTTTACCCTCGTTCGATCTAAGTATACGTAGTCTATTTAAAGACTTGTACGCGTATATAATTAATGCTCATTTATAAATTTACTTTAATCGGTAAATAGTATTTGTGTTACTTGGATTTTAGATAGAGGCTGCAGCGGCGAGGAAATATTAATAGATGAATTGTTGAGAAGTCCTTTTATTAGATCTACCGTCCTTATATTACTTGAATTAGTATGTTCTATTAAATTTACAACTAAAAAGTTAAATTAATAATTTACCGTAAGAATATTTTTGAATAGAATTGATCGAGTTTTTTAAATGTCTGATAATGAACGTAGATGAGAGAATAAAATTTTGGGAAAAGATTTCGAAGAATTCAATCATTCGTAAATATATTAAAATTTTTTATAATTTTTTATATATTAATTTTATATATATATATATATATATATATAACTACTATTATCAACTGATTATTAGTAACGTTTAAGCATATTTTTCCTTTCTTTGAATACTTTCTTACAATACATTCTAGAGAAGAAACAAAAACACGAGTGGCCGCGAGCACACGCACGCACGCACACACACACACATTATATAAATTATATACCTTAAATATAATTTATAAAATTATATATTTAATCTCATTTAATGATAGCTACATTTCTCCGTGAAAAATTAACTTAACAAAGTTACATGGATATTAATTGAAGAATATTTTTGTATCAATGTCATGAGATAACAGTGATGGAAGCTTGTTTCATAATTATATTTACCGGGCTTATAGCCTGGAGGTAGGAGGGCAGAAATGTCGATTTCGGATTTCACAAATAAATCTTGAATAGATTTAGTTCGCTCGTTGATTGTTGATGAAATTGGTGAAACATCTTTTGATTCGGAAAGCTTATTTTTTGCTAAAAGTTCGCTCAAAATTGACGACTTTTCTGTAGTTATATCTTCTTTTTTTAATTTATACCCTGGAAAAATATAGTACTGTAATTCAACGGAAATTTATATATACGTAGATTTATATAAATGAAAAGGAAAGCAAGAGAGAAATTTTATCGAGTAAATGTGTAATCATTATATAATTGCGAATGATCTTATAATTTATAATTATATATATTTTTAAATTTTGTATTTAAAATGAATTTTTTATTATTTTATTAAAATATATAGCTATATATGTGTAATATATTTAGAAATGTTTTAAGCAACAAATAATCTAAAAAAATAATAATACAAAAATAATATCATACTTGTAAAGTAAAATTTTCAATAAAAGTACAAGAATTTTTTTTTTTACCAAAACAATAATGCCAAACAACTAATCTACTTTTTTAATTTTATTAATTGAAAATACTATTGTTTTAATATTTATTAAATACTATTCCAGAAATTACATTCCATTTATTTTACACGTTTATAACTATTTTAATAAACATATTAAAATAAAAATTATGATAAAATAAATATAACTAATAGCTAAATTAAATTCCTTATTTATAAAGACTTAGCGATTAAAATTTTATAAATATTTAAGATTTTTTAAATTTTATAAAGCATTTTATCTAATTATCAAAAAAGTAAATTACTTTAAGAACTAAGAAATATGCTTAATTATTAACAATTTTAATAAAAATTCTCCAAAAACCAAAACTTTACATTTTCATGCATTCTTAATCAGCAATAAAGTATAGGTGAATTAATTCATGAAATAGCGAATATTGAAATACTATAGCGTACGGACTGTTATTAATCTATTGATAATTGTGGATTTACCTGGTGGTAGGAAAGCGCTAATATCTTCAATGGTGGTAAGGGCTTTGCTATTGGTGTTTGCGCTACTCTTCTCGGTCGTCGACGATGTCGAACTAAGAGTCGTCGACGTCTTATGCAAGGGCCTCTTGAAAGAATTTCTATAGTTGGACTTGGGATAGTCCTTTGGGAGGAAGCCGTCAAGATCGTCGAGCGTCGTTTGTAGCTTAGGCCTCTTCGTCGTGCTACTGCTCGGCGTGCTTGTGCGGTAGCTGTTCTTTGGAAAATCTTTTGGCAGGAAGGCTTCCATGTCATCCAAGGTCGTTTGAATTTTCGGGCGCTTCGTCAGAGGCGATGCCGTCGTACTCGTCCGATAATAGCTGCGGGAGAAATCCTTAGGTAGGAAGGCTCCAACGTCGTCGAGAGTTGTTAGGACTCTTGGTCTTTTCGTAATGCTTGTGATGGTAATGGGAGCGATTGGAGAAGATGTCGGAGCGATGGTGGAAGTCGTTGGTAGCGTCAAAGACGTTGCCGAGAATGGTTTCTTATTATAGCGTCGTGGTACAAACCTAATATTATATATTTATATGTATATATATATATATATATATATATATATATATATATATATATATATATATATATATACGATATAAATGTTTTACTGGACAATATATATTATTAGTGTTTATTTATTTATTTATTTATTGTTGTTATTTAAATTTTTTTATTCAATATTTTTTCAATTGAAAATTCGGTATTTTAAAAAATTATGAGAAATACTAAAGTGTATGTTTATAAATGTGAACCATACGTTGCGAATTAATCGATCAGTGTACGTATTTAGCGCGAATTGATATTATATTTAAAAATTCAAATAAATTACGAAACAATAAAATAAATTTGAAATTTAAATACCTGGATAATAAATTTTATTTATAATAAATATGCAACGTTACCTATCCACATTGATTTTATCGTTTCCTTTTAACATCATTATTTTAAATCTAATAAAGAAGTCTTTTCTACTGTGCAAACAAAACATGATCAATAAAATATTGATTATTTATTTTGACACATACATACAAACATACACACGCGCGAGCGCTCATACACACAGATATATATATATATATATATATATATATATATGCTTTTATATTCGATAATTTACGTTTGAATTGTGATTGGAAGATTGAAAATAAAATTATAAGCTAAGCTGCACATAAATTTTAAATGCTTATTTAATTATCGTATAACGAATTTTTGGTTGGTTACCGATGGATAAAAGAAATAAAATTATAATAATGGAGCGATAGATATTTATATCACTATTACTAAACATCGTTAACAATAATAAGTACCTTTTTATGCATTTACTGATTTATTAATAAAATAAAGACTTATAAATAAAGACTTATAAATTAAAAATAAAGACCATTCGACTTATATAAAAATGTATTAAGTTATTGAATTAATAACACAGGAGCAAGCGTATTAACATACTATTGTCAAATAATTGTACATCACTAATAATTATTAAAATAATTGCAAATTAATATTGCCTTTCATCTTCTGATTAATCAATGGATTAATTAATACAATTCAGAACATCAAAATGAAAGATTTTCTAAGGATTTTCTAATGATTTTTAAGAATTGAAATGTTTATTGATCGATTCTTGTGAAAGCTCCAAGCAAGACTATATCAAGGCATTCCTCTACACAACAGTCAGACATTATATATTACAATCCCGGAGTAAAGAAAAATTGTTCGCATAAATAAGAGATATATATATATATATATATATATATATGTATATGTATATATATGTATGTATCTGAATGTAAATAATCTAAATAAAAGTGTCGATAAGAGGGCAACGTTAAAAATTCATCTCACCAGGGCACATCCGGTGTGAAAAGAGCGTTAAACTCAACGTACCGTCCGTTCGCTAGAAATCCACTCGAGAGCTCAGACTGCACTCGATCGAGCTTATCGATGATGCTCTCCGTCGAATCAAGTTGCTCGACCTTGTCAACGGACGGGAATGGCAAAAATCTTGCGCCCGAGACGCTGCGGCCCGTCTGCACGGCTGGTTGTATTGTTGACGAAGGAGGAAATTCCGAAGAGGACGACACTTTCCCTGCATCAAAGATATTACTTTAAATTGTCGCTTCGCCATGCCATCCTATCGATTTTTCACATTTCTTTAATTTAATGCATCGCTGTTTATATATAAGAAAGTTTCGTTATAGCTTTGTTCACTTTAACTCGGTGAGCTCTGGAATATTCAAATATGTTTTCACCGAAAGTAGCTCTTAGCTCTGTAATACTAATGTGAGATGTAAATGAAATAATTTACTATGTTATTACTGATTTCAAGAGAAAATGGGAGTAGAAAGTTTGGCCGGTAATTTTAAGTATAACAAGTTTCGTGTGACGGATGTTGGAAAAGTTAAACCAAATGATAAATATAAATTGAGTTAACAATAACTAGGTTAACATTATCACGAATTTCTATTAATACGATATCGAATATTTTTACATTCAGAATCGTTAAAAACTTCGAGCTTTATATATATATATATATATAACGAGAAAAACAAAATAAAAAAATGAAAAAAGACAGCTAACACGAGAAATCATTTTAAGAAATCAATGCCCGGAATTTATTGTTTCTTATCAAATTATTGACCTATTTTGGTGTCAATATTTTCCTATTCAATAGTAAATTAATAAAATATTCAGTAAGGTAGCAAATTTATAATTAAGGTTTTGATAAATATGTAGAACATACTATTTTCCAAGGCAACAACGTAATTACAATATTTTAAAATACCACAAGTTTTAATTCAATTTATACTCGAAGGGTAAATGTAATATAAATTGTATCGAATGAAATTATAGGATAATATAATCTTATTAAATACGAAGGAAAAGACTATCCATTTCTTTAATTATAATTAGCCGAAAATAGCTTACACAAATAAAGAAACTTGGTATTTATAATATAAGTTTTGAAAAATAAATATACTCCCAATTCTATGTTGAACTAAATAATAATACTTACGAACATTAAAGCATTGACTACATTTTGCAAAAGTATCGTAATACATTGAAATGCAAGTGATTTCCCTTTTAAAAGTAAAAATTAGTCGTATAAAAAAAAAATATTACTATGCAATTAATTTGCTTTGAGATGAGGAAAATACGCTGAAATTGACAAAAATGTGATAATACTTGTAAAATACTCGATAAAACAAAGTTGATTAACTTTGATAAATCACATCTTCAAAGTCATTATTAGCTTACTCATTATAATTGTAAATTGCATTATGATAAATAATCGTCACTGTAAAATCAATGTACAATTGCTACATTAGATACAATATATATATATATATATATATATATATATATTTATTTATATTTATAATGAATAAAAATGTATTCCCTTTAAAATTTAAACAGAGTAGATAATATAAAGTATAATGTAATATATCAAATGGTTAGACGTGCTTCATCGAATAAATTTACGGCAAAGACTGAGATCAAAAGGTCTTTAGGACCTAATTTTCAAAACTGATTTAATTAATATTTATTACGAGTAGTTATTCTGCATATTAATCCACAAATTAGATGTTACAAAATACTTAAATATAGAGAATACCGTTTCACAACATTGATATTTTATAATTCACATCGTATTTGCATTCGTATTTACTATGTTTATTTCAATTGACATATATTATCAATGACACATTTTCCAAACGTGCATCAACAACCATAGCATCGAAATTAATTCAACATTATCAAAATCAATCTAACAGAGCTGCTGTTAATAATTCCATGAATTGATTGTATTTTAAATCGAAATGTACAGCCAATCACGTTGAAATAATTTATTGACGAATTAATATGACGATAATTAAATAAAGTATGAGTAAAACCATTGGAAAATACGTATTTAATTGGTAAATGTATCGGTTTAAAAACTATCATTGATACGTGTAATGATTGTTATAATGAGGATATTATTTATTGGCTGAATTAAAATAAATTCAAACTTTAATATCTGCTATGTATTGTCAAATACAATTTTTATCGCTTATCTAACACTTTATGGAATTAATATTGATTATTGTTATTGTTCTTATTTAATATTTATTATATTTCAATAAAATTCAATATTCGTTGATTATATCGTATAAATTATTAAGATCTATTAAACAATTATTAAGATATATTATTATACGAATATTATAAGATAATATTTTTATTCTTCTGGTAGTTTTTTGTAGCGCCTATCAATAGCAAAAAGAAAAATTCTATAAAACTATTAATGTAATTCATGATTATCCATGTATAAATATTATTTATGATTATCCAACACTTTACAACTATTCTCTAAACATATTGTTATTTCGCGTAAATTGCTTGAAAAATTATACATATTAAATCAGATGATAATCAACTCGAATTCCAAATGGCCGTATTGCTCATTAATCTTTTATACGTTAGCTGAAATAAATATCATGAGCTCCCTTGGATAATGTCAATAACTACTTTAGTACATTGGATTGTTATCGCAGACATAAAACTGCGTAACATAAGTACTCAGTTTTATGGCGAACATGGATTTAATCGAGCTAAAACAGTTTTAGCTAGAACATTTGAGTATGTGGTGCAATATATAAGCCGGATATATGACTGTTAGAACAAGCTGGCGAATGGTAAAACATGAAATAAAAAGTTTCTAACCGTCAGTGATAGTCACGGCCGTTGGGTTACTGCTGCTACTGCTGCTGTTGCTGTTGATCGTATCTGTGGTAGTGGTGGTGATGGTGGTTTTGGTGGTAGTGGTGGTGGTGGTGGTGGTGGTGGTGGGGGCGGTGGTGGTGGTGGTGGCGGCGGCGGTGGTGGCGGTGGTGGTGGTCGACGTCGGCGTTGTCGTGCCAGTGGAGCTGGAGATCGGCTCGGTTCTCTCTGTGCTAAATATCGTTGTAGGTGTTGGGCTCAACGTAGTTTCGGGCAAGGAATACGTGCCGTTGACAACACTTTTGGTCGTCACGACGGAGACGATCGCCTCGCCGATTAAAATCGGACCATCGTTATCCACCGGATCGTCAACATTCTCCGGCAATCGCGCGCCTCCCGCCTCACTCCGAGTTTCCTTTCTATCGGATGAGATTCGACTTATCGTTGCTTCCGGCTCCTTTTCTTCATTCTCATCTTCCGACTGCTCCTCCTCTTCCTCCCATTTATCCTTCGTCAACTCTTTATCCTTTTCTCTCTTGGGTGTCGCTTTAGTTGATTTTTCAGCTGATTCTAGCTTCTGAAAATTTTTAGCCCACTATCAATATTATGAATGACACGATGATACATCATCATTAAAATTTCTGAATTTAGCTGGTAAGTATATTAATTCTTTACATATAATATTACGCGCTTACATTTACTACCAAAATGCAGCACCTACATATATATATATATATATATATATATATGCTTGTGTGTATAATATAATCGTTGTATTATTTATAAAGAACAATAGAAGATAAATTTAAAGCTGAATATTTTATTCATAAAAAATGACCTAAAATTTCGTCACTGATACTCTATTATTTTCAGTGTCGTCTTTTTATAAGAAACATATAAATTCATTCGATCAAATAAAAAATACATTTATTTCATTATAAATACTATGATTGTGTGCAAAAAAGGAATGCAAATTAATTTTACAAGTTTTAAAGTATAAATATCTTATTGAACACATGTTTGACGTTTCAATTCGCGTCATTATGAAAATGTTAAATTAATATTACATTCTGTTTTCATCGTTATACTCTGATATTTTATAAATAACTAGAATTTTTTATGTTTTTATAAATAATCGTCCTCTTTTTATTATTGCACATATTAAAAGTCAAAGATATACTGGCAAAAATATGCAATTTTTTTATCCGTTATATATTTGAAATAAATAATATGCATACGAATATTCGTACCTTCATATATACCGTCTATCCTTGTTTAAGCTTACTAAATTTTTAACAGCCTCGTTGGCACAATCATCCTATCATTACGAATTTTTCATATACGTTTTTAATTATCAGTTAGCCAATATGACGTACAGGATGGGATTTTTCAGATTCGATGCTTTAGTAACGCAATATTAGTATTGCATTAGATGTAATTCAGATAAAAATATCTTATTAATATTGCGCCATCTCCATCGTACCGTTAAAAATCCCATTAAATAGTCGGCTAATTTTTGTGGATAAAAGAGCCAAACACACCTCCGGATGTTGCACTAGCTCTGACCCATTAACGATTCCCACCGGCGCAGCAGCCGCAGACGTCCCCGCCATCCCCGGCCTCGCCGCTTCGTCCTCCTCCTCGTAATCGTCAACATAATAGTACGAATCTTCGTCGGCCGTACCATTTATACTTCCAGGGAGTTCATCGTCGGATTTCGCGACCTTGGGCTCTCTAACGCCTTCCTGCGTTAAACCGGCTATAGGCACATCATCGTCGTAATATTCTTCATCATCGTAGTATTCTACACTTTCTGACCGCTGCTCTTGCTGCTGTTGCTGCTGCTTTTGCTGCTGCTGATAAAGATTCGATGCGGGTTCCAGAAACTCTGCATCATCGCGGCTACTTCGAGATTGCTGAACGGTATTCCAAGAAGCCTCTCGCGACTCACCTGTAATCAAGAATTGATTCGATTCACTCTGTTACTTCAGAGCTTGAACTCTTAAGCGACGCATTGGTACATAACGAGACCATCGTCATCCGTATCAGAATAACTTCAGTCATTTTATTACAAACGACTTTTTCATTTGTTCAGCAATGTGGAAAACACAATGCTATAAGGAATTCATAAAAATTATGTCTTCGGTATTTCATTATTTTTAGTGGCGCAAATTTATTTATTATAGAAAAGCGAGATAGTATATATATATATATATATATATATATATATATATATATATTTATATATATATTTATGTATACATGTTTATGAGTAGATATTACAATATATTTTCCAAAAATAATAAATTATTTAATTTAAAACCTTCGTTTCATATATAAAATGTTACTTCAAATATAAAATGTCTTTATTATATAATTCACAGCCTGTAAATTATTTATTTTATTTAAAGATTAGGCACAATATGAAATGATAGACACTATTAAATAACAATTTGACACACTTATATGATATTTCTGCAGCTCGTGTAAAAATATCGATATAAATTTTTTCATCGTTTGAATACTAATTGAATGTTAAAAAGTCATTACAAGAATAAGTCTACAATACATCAGGAAACTCATTAGTAATGAGAGAATATTATCTGTACTCCATAAAAACGGGGAATTCGATTAAAAATGGTCTACAATTCATATTTTCTACCAACCACAAGATGCATTTAATAAGGTTTAAAGATTTTCGATGTACTGAAATTCAATCAGAATTTAATACTGATAAACTGAATAAGAATTTATAAAATAAGCTAAAGCTATTTTAGCTATTTTATTATAAGACGTAAATACTGCAACATTTGAAATTCCAGAATTTGACATAGAAAATTTATATCTTTGTCTCAGCAAATGTTTCCATCGATACTTTTATTCACATGTTTTTGAATGTTTTTAAATTTTATTTCGCAAAAATTTCAACTTATAACTCACTATTAGCTTGTCAGAATAAATAAACGAATAATAGCTTGCCATTATGCTTTTCTAAACCAGATGATATTTATATGTATATTTATTTATTTATAAACACGAATGTATGCATCTGTGTTTCACGTACATAGTTATATAAAAAAAATTGCTTTTATTTGTGATATATACGATTGTCGATTAAAAATTCATCTATATAATATATTTTGAAAATAGACTTTACTTTTTCCCGTGTTACGGGAACAGTGTTACGAAAATCTAGTATTTAATGTCGCTAATCTGCATGTATTGAAAAATTCTGCAAGCGCAATGCAAAGCCCAGATATCGGCATATGAAAACTCAAACCCTCTCAATTGTTTCGTGCCAATTGTTTCTCTTTCCATGATTACTAGATATCAGTGTTTTTACCAAATGGTGGTAAGGATTTTTATTATCTAATTACCCTTGAAGACTTGATTATCGACATCTCTGTCTTCATTGCTTACACGACTTCCATTATTTTACCAGCGTAACCGCGTGTGCGGTTATTCAACGCGCCGTTGTTGTTGACTCACCGACTCCCCATAGGTGAACGAGAGAATGAAAGAGACGAGAGAATGAAAGAGACGAGAGAATGAAAGAGACAAGAAACGAGGGGAAAATCCAATTTCCTAACAGGACCCTCCCGCGAGATTTTCACAGTGAACACGTATTTTCAAGCATCCGATAGTTTATTCAATATATTTGAATATTTTTCTTTTATATTCGGCCGAATAGAAAATAAAAATTATTGTGACATACACCGAGATGCCGATAATTATTTACAATCGGATGCCTATGCCTATAACCGATGTAGACAGAATCGAGCAGTTTTAATCTACGACGAATATATAAAAAAATGCTAGGTACTTTAAAATTAATTGTGAATATGAATCGAAAGCAGCCTTGCACTTTGTAGAATAATACCTCTAACGCCTCGCAAGTTTTAGTTTTCTATATTAGCAAGCAATATGCGATTTTATTGAATAAAACTTTGATATCTTATTTAGTTTCCTCGTTATTAATCACCTATTTTATCTTATGTTTTTTTTCCCCACAATTTTATCATCAATATTAAAATATAAAATTATTTGTAATCGTTAATTAAAAGTCACTTACAATAAACTGCAAAAGTACAAAACGATATTATAATTTCACGAACTATGATACATAATATTATAAATGACTGATGGAAAATAAAATTGCACATATAACTTATTAGTTCGCCAATCAAAGGGAGCGTAATATTTAAAGCAAATCTAAATAAGTTTATGAGAAAATTCATTCGCTAACACAATCAATATGCAACATTCTTAGGAGGACCAACATAGTGTATTAAAATTCGCTACCAACGTATCACTCTCTTTAATAACCATGAAATAAATCTTTTTTTTTTTCTTTTTTTTTTTTTTTTTGCAGTACTCTTGGCGCAAGACTAGTTAAGTATATAGATAATTTGAATTAATAATATTAACGGAGTCCTGGCAATGGGAATTTAAAAAATTAAACATTTTGAAATTTTCAATTGTAAATTCCGAGTCGCTCTCAATATATACTTACTATCCAATATTAAGCAATGAAATTTTAATATAGAAATTTCAATATAGAAAAAAATTAATTGAAAACACTTATTGATAAGAGATTATTAATAATTACAGGCCCATTGATAGAGAGGTGTACAATTTATCATTGGAGGATGAATTTAAAAAAAAAAAAAAAAAAGTCCTCTCTTTTATTCGTAAAATTATAAAGAACGAGAGGAAAGGCGAGATATTACAATTTATTGTGCTCTAAAAGTGGCGCTGTAAGAAATCTCGCAGCTGTTAGACGTCAATACGAATGTGCACGGGAAAGTTACTAGTCAGTCGGTCATTCAAGTGATCTCTTTCATAATAGCGGTTTTGTAGCTTGTACAGACCATATCGATCATTAATTTCGTTCATTAAACGGTGCCGAGAGTGTACCGTTAACGAGACGCATTCTTGGGAATTTCGAGCCTTCCCTTACGTTATTAGTGTACAGAGACAAAAATAATTGGCAATGTAGATCCACGCGGTCTTTAAAATAACACATTCGATCGATTCGACCGTTTATTTATTAAAGTTAATTCTACGTGGTTTATTATTTAATTGAATTTTAGCAAAATAAATTGTTGCATTATTTAAGCTATTATTATAGCAGAATATAATATAAGAATGTATTAATTCAAAGGACACTTATCATCGGCTTTACATAGTAATAAATAATTTACAAAAGAAATTATGAATAAAGAAGTCGTAAAGCCATTAAAATTTCAATAATGAAGTTAAACCATCTTTTAAGTAGCTGAAATTTAAAGTAAATTATACTAAATTTTCTTTAGTTTAAAAAATTCCCTAGTAATTTTGTTAGAATATTTAGAAATGAGTAATGCACAATATAAATCTATGTTAAGAAATTTAAAAAGTTCATGAATAAGTCACATATTGTCGATATACGTGACAGAAATAAAAAAACCAACCAAACAAAAGTCCTTGATTTTGTAAATAATGTTTAAATTTGCAATTACATATATATATATATATATATATATATATTATGAAAAAAGTAAAAGTCAATTGTATTACCTATCCCCTT